CCCCCCCTCCCCCTTACACACCCGCATCCCCTGCCCCGAGGCTCCGCGGTCGCCGCCGGCCGCCCAGGGCTCTCGGGCGCAAGAGCCCAACCAGACCCACATGCTCAACATCGCGTCGGAGCTGGCGCACCGCCAGCCAGGGATGGCCTCTAGGCCCACCGGGGCAGAGACACGGCGGGCACAGACACGGTATGCCAGGAAAAGCCCCTCGACGTGGTGGTGCAGGAGATGCCGAGTATGGAGGCACCGCACGCACATCACATCAGGCCCGGCACCCGGCGGAGCCCACAGAGGGGACGAAGATCGCACGCCGAGCGCGACCCACGGACTTGCCTCCGGTGCCAACGCATCATCGTGACTCGCACGGGACGCCAAACTCCAGGCGTGATCAGCCCCCGGCGACCAGACAGAGCGGCGGTAGCACCGCAGGCAAAGACGGGCACGGGGGGGGGGGGGGGGTGAAGCGGGGCGGGGGGCAGGGATCAGCCAGGCAGCGCGATCTGAGGGCCAAGGCGGCCCCTCTTTTTTCGGCGGCGACACGCCGAGGAGAGCATAAGTCCACGATCATCCCCCTTCTCCGCATTCCCCCGTCCTCCTCGCTCTTTTGCCCTGCCCTCTTTTTTTCGCCACTTAATTTGGGCATCCCCCTCCGCCAGATGTTCTCGCAGACCATGCGCCTCGCCCTCGTCCGGCAGGCGGCCTCCCTTGGACGCCGGCCAGCCACGACCCGCCGGGCCTGGGCCGCAGTGGGATCCCCTCGGCTTGCCATCCAGCCGAGCTCCCCCAGCCGGATGCACATGGCCCCAAGCCCTTCATCGATTGGCGCCCGGCAGTTGAGCTCCTCTGCGCAGCCGAGCCCCCAGGCCCCGGCGATCGATCACGACATGGATACACCGGCCGACGTGCGGGGTGCCACCTCCGGGCCGCTTTTTGCCTTCGACCAGTTGGTCGCCTCGGGCCAGTCGGCGCCGGACCCCTCGCAGCGGGCTGCCTGCATTGTGCTTCAGCGCGTGCACAACCAACTGAATGCGTCGGTCGCTGCCGCGCCCGCGGCTGTTGCTCCGGCCCCGGCCCCGGCCCCGGCCGGCGGCTGGATGGGCTCCCTTCGGTCGTCCCTCGGCCGGGTGGTGGGTCTTGGTGGCTCGGCCGCGCAGGCGCCCGCCCCGTCGACCAGCGGTGCCGGCGTCTACCTGTACGGTGGTGTCGGCACTGGCAAGACTCGCATCATGGTGCGACTGCCTTTACTTGAATGCCCTCCAGCCCGCCATGTATCCGGGGCCTTGCTCGGCCCGCTGACCACCCCTCCGCCGCTCCTCGGCCCTCGCCCTTTCGCCATACACGAAGAACCTCCTCTTTGATACGCAAGGACCCCACATCCCCAAGCAGCGCATCCACTTCCACGCCTTCATGCTGGACGTGCATGCACGTGTGCACCGTCTCCGGTCCGAGGAGCCGGCCACCGTGGACCCGCTGCAGGCAGTCGCCCGGCAGCTAGCCGGCCGCATGCGTCTTCTCTGTCTCGATGAGCTGCAGGTGACCGACATTGCCGATGCCATGGTGGTCAAGAATCTCTTCGAGACCATGATCAACAATGGTGCGTTTTCCCGCCGAGTGGGTCCCGTGGGCAGCACTGCTCTTTGTCGGCCCTCGCTGACGTCCCGGCTCTCCTGCTGACCGGTGTCCCCTGTCTCCACGCATGCATGGGCCTTCCCCCTCGTCCTCGGTTTCTCCTCCCCCCCCCCCCCGGCTCAGGTGTCACGATCATCTTCACCTCCAACCGTCACCCGAGTGAACTCTACCTACGCGGCATCAACCGCGAGCACTTCCTGCCCTTCATTGACATGGTCATCGGCCGATTTAATGTCGTGCAGGTGGGCAAGACAGGCCTGGATTACCGGAGTCTCGTTGCCTCCGGGGCTGTTCCCACACAGCAGGACGGCACCCCGGCGCCTGAGGCGCAGACAGCGCACCCGGCGGCCCCGGGCGCCGCCGAGCTGGAGCAGCTTCGCGCCCCGCTGTCCCGGGCGTATGCCAGTCGTGAGCTAGAGCACCTCGCCGACCCGTACTTCGAGGGCTTCGACCGGGCCGCCGGCCTGGCTGATGCTTTTGCCGCGGTGGCCGAGCGTGATCTTGGGACTCTGATGGCCGCCGGGCCGGTGGCCGCGGCCCTTGTGGACCCGGCCCGCCGGCCGGCTGTCCGTGCTGCCACGCGCATTTCCATCGGCGTCGGGCGCTGGCTCGATGTTGAGGGGATGGTTGTGTGGCCGGACCTGGCTGCCGACCTGGAGCAGTCCACCTCCAGCCTGGATCAGACGCACGCGCGTCGGCACCCGGCCGTCCTGGTCGATTACAAGACCCTCTGTGGCTCGGCGCGCGGAGCCGCCGATTACATTTCTCTTGCTCAGCGTTTCCGCCGGGTATTCCTGACGAATGTCCCCTCATTGACCGTGGAGCAGGTACGCTCAGAGTTGGTGTTTCTTCTGTTTGTCCCCCCCCCCCTGCCCATGATGCTCCGCGTCTTTCTCTCGCGCATATGCACACGATAGCGAGAGGCACAGAGAGGGTGATCGAGAGAGAGAGAGAGAGAGAGAGAGCGATAAAAAAGAAAGTCCTCTGACAGGTCGCTGCATCCCCCCCCCCCTCCACTCCGGTAATGTTGGTTCATGATCGAGCACAGAAGGATGAGCTCCGACGCCTGATCACCTTGATTGACGTCCTCTACGAGACTGGGTCCCTCTTGGTGATGCATTCCCAGTGCCCGGTCGAGGCGATCTACGTGGATCAGGGCCCGCCCCCGACGGCTGCCGAGCTGGCCGCCGCCCAACAGGCCGCCCCTGGGTCTGGCCATGAGGAGCGCTTTGCCTTTGCCCGGACGCACTCGCGTCTGACCGAAATGCGCAGCTCTGCATGGGCTCGGAGTGCCGCCCGTGAGTGGGCCCGCGAGGATTGCGATGCTCTGGCTGGCTCGAGCCAGCCATCCCAGCTGAGGTGATGGCCTGAACGAGCGATCTCCCCGTCTCTCCTTGTGTTCCCGGGTCCCCCCCCCCCCCTGCCTCGGCTCCTCCCCCCAGGCGCTCTTGGCTGCCCGAAAATAGACTACCAACAACCGGTTAATGTGCCTGTTAATTGATCTACCAGAACCCTACATTCCATCGAGGTCATGTGGGAGCCTGCCTTTTTGGCCAAGCTGCATTCTCTGTGCGGGGTATTTTTTTTCTCGACCCCACCAACCGATGGGGAGGGGCCACTGGACAGGGGGGGAGCAGCCGGACCGCTGGCAGTAGGCCTTGGATGACCGACGGAGGTACTAGGCCGTCGGGAGGCGCGGGCAGGGGAGGGGGGGGGGCAAGGGGACCCGGAGGAAAGGATGGCCTCCGGGGCAGGAGTGCCAGCGGGGCCGAATCAATCAATGCACGGGCGAAATCTCTCGCCTGCCGATCGTCAGTCTGGCAGCCTTTCCGGCCGGCACCCTGTCCTGTGAGCGGATTGCCCCGCGCAGCACCCCTCTTCCCCGTGCTACCGGCTGTCCTCGCCCATATCCCTCCTTGCTCCCCCCC